ACCTCGCTGCCGCCTTTCTACGTCTTAGTGTACGTCGACGACCTCGTCTTTGCCACGGCTGACACTGAGGCACTGACCCTTGTGAAGTCCAAGCTGCAGAAGAGATATACCTGCACTGACCTGGGTGAACTGCGCAGCTATCTTGGCTTGCAAATCACCCGGGACAGAGCACGGCGCACCATCACACTGACTCAGTCACACATGGTGCACCAGGTCCTTCAGCGCTTCGGCTTCCAGTACTCTTCGCCACAGCTCTCTCCTCTGTCTACCAGCCACTCGCTCTCAGCTCCACCTTCGGACGAGTCCGTAGAGCCGAGTGGTCCGTACCCAGAGCTTGTGGGTTGCCTCATGTACCTGATGACTTGCACACGACCTGACCTCGCGTACCCTCTCAGCCTTCTGGCTCGCTACGTGGCTCCCGGTAGGCACCGAAAGGTGCACTGGGATGTTGCGAAGAGGGTACTGCGTTACCTGTGCAGTACGTCGGCATGGGGCTTGTGCTTGGAGGACGGGGTCCTGTTGTCCTCACTGGTCACGCAGACGCCTCCTGGGTTGACGACTCAGCTACGCAGCGGTCGTCGCAGGGTTACACCTTCAGCCTTGGGTCTGGCTCGGTTTCTTGTCGGTCTACCCGCTCGTCTTTAGTTCTCAGCTCCAGCTGTGAGACTGAGATCTACGTCGGGGCCATGGCTGCTCAGGAGCTACGCTGGCTCACCTACTTGCTGACTGACTTGGGAGAGCAGCCTCGTTTCCTCTAGTCCTGTACGTAGACAACAAGGCCATGATTGCCTTGTGTCAGGAACACAGACTGGAGCATAGAACAAAGCACATCGCTCTGCGATACTTCCTTGCTCGAGAGTTGCAGCAGCGTGGTCAGCTTCGTCTTGCGTACGTGGCCACTCGGGCCAACACTGCTGATGTCTTCACCAAGGCACTTCCGCCTGGTGATCATCAGCGCTTTGTTATTGTGTTAGGCCTTGTGCCTACTTTGCCTCACTTGCTTACTGCCTGACTCTGCCTGTACTGTGATCTATATATATACCTGCATGCTTGCACTTGCTAGGGTATGATCACTGTATTGTTTGTTCTCTTTATATAACTTTGCATGTGAACTGGCCTTGTGGCCTTTTGCTTGTGCTCGGACTGTGTGGTGACTTTGTGATCCACCCTGAGCTTGTTTTGCTTTGCTTCTTCTCTTGACTGGACTTGTGACCATTGCTTGCTCTTACTATCCCTCACTTCGCCTATGGGGGTGTGTCAAACATATATGCTTAGTTGTATCTAGGCTTAGTTGCATCTAGGCTGTATGGGGGCTAGCTTTAGGGGGTACACAATTCTTCTCGACATTCTACTTGTACCCCCCCCCTCTTTCCTAATCACACATTTTTCTCGTCATTCTCGCTACTCTTTAATATGATGGTCCCTTCTCTGCAGGCTCGTGAAGATTCTCGAAAGTGACACCAGCTGGCACGCTTGGCTGGGACTGGGAAAGGAGAGGAGCAAGAAAGGAAATAAGGGAGGCGAAGGGTAGGGGAAAGGGGGAGGCGGATAGAGAGTGAGCAGCAGCAGCGAAGGGGGGTGAAGGTTGAGGGAATTTTACGAGTTTCCTGCAGGTTCTGCCCCCGCCTATGCTCGCCACCCGTCCCACCACCTGCCCTGTCAGGGAATAATGACTGCCGACAGGGGCTAGTGCCGTCTATTTCCTGTCTCTGTCGCCACTCACTAGCCCCTGTCGCCGCCCCCAAGACGTGTCCCTTCGTCCACCTCCCCCCCCCCCTCTATTGCTCGCCACCAACAGTAACCCCCCCACCTATAATCGAAGTCGAATCAAATATCCGTCCGCCTCTTCTTAATCGCCCTGAACAGCCAACCCTAACCTGGTACTCACAAATGTGCAAGTTTAAGTTTCTATGATACATGTAAAAGGCTGATTACAACTTCCTAACAAAACCCTAACCCTAGCGCTAGCCCTACCGTCTCCCCCATCTCCCCCTTCGCACCTACCCACCATCGCCTTGCACTTGCCCCTTGCGCCATCGCCTTGTGCAATTACCACCCTGAGCCGCTTCACGTCTAGCCCTACCGTCTCCCCGGACCCCCATCTCCCCCTTCGCAAATGTCCGCCACCATCAGCAGCGGCACCTCCACCTCCTGCCCGCTTGAATCAATCCTACCCGCCATAGCTTGCACTTGCCTTCTGCACCATCACCTTGAGCAATTACCTCCCTGAGCCGCTTCACGTCTAGCCCTACCCAGCTCTCCCACCCCCGCCGCACCTGTCCGCCATCAGCAGCAGCATTTCTTCTACCTCCTGCGGTTACCACCCTGAATTGCTTACCCCAACTCTTACCCTAACCCTAACCTAACCCTAATCATAGGGCGAGACGTACCGTCTCCCCGCCCCCACCGCACCTGTCCACCATCAGCAGCAGAACTTCCACCTCCTGCCCGCCCGAATCGCCCGCCATCGCCTTGCGCCTTGAGCCTTGCGCCTTGCGCCTTGCGCCTTGCGTCTTTCGCCGTGCGGCTTGCGCCTCACGCCTTGCGTGCTGCCGCGTTGACCCGCTGTCAAGCCCCCTCCCTGCCTCCCGCTTGCTTCCTCAGCTTTTGCACGTCCTGTTCCTCTTCGTCGCCTAACGGCCCACACCAGCACGGTCACCAACAAGGCTCACCCTCTCTCTCGCCTCCCGGCGCCCTCGCCCGCCGCTCAGCCTCCTTCCCTCACGCCGCGCCCCACCTGCCTCACCCTTCGACGATTCGCCACGCGCTGATTGGCTGGGACGAAGCCGGCACTGATAGGTCCTGGATGTGACAGTATCGGGTGGCGCTTAAACTTGTGTTGACAGTATCGAGAGCTATTATAGCGACGAGACGATGATGGCATTCACTGCTCTAGATGAGTTCGAGGAGCATTTGGAATCCTCGGTGGTAACGGAACCGTTTGTAGAAGGTGATTTTCGAGCACCGTGCTTTCTACGAACCCTCACGTGCTCAACGCGTCACTAGGAATTGTAAGCGCGGACGTATCGCTACAGTGGCAAGAAACAATGGTTATAGCCTAAATCTGGTTACAAATCCAGTTATGATCTAGTATAACACACCCTAAAAACAACCACACTACACTTTTGGTACTCCACCCACAACCTTCGGCTCTCGTCTTGTCTCACAATCTTGGGTTGCGGGACGGGCGCGTGCGTGTCTTTTGCAAACTTGGGTTAAGTTTTTTGTCGAACTTCACATTTGAACTTTGGTCAACCTTTGCTCGACCATCTCGACTTTTGGTGGTCGTGGAGCACCGCCAACGAGCCCGAGTTGTGCATGGAACAACAAAGTTCGACTATCAAAGTTCAACTTCAAACAGTGAATCACGAGTCGCGCTGTTTTTTCGTAGGTTACCTGGATTCGCAATGCTGTTCGTGCCAGTATCAACTTTTGGTAACACTTACGCTGTACCTCGTCACCGCTGCATATCTCGCAAATGTCCGTGCGTGCGCAAAAGAACGCACGATTGGATTAACGTAAACGAAAAAATCCGAATGCGAGGTCGACTTTAGTTTGTGTTATTTTCTTTCACACTGTTTAAACTAGGGCACACGATCCTTGCGAACGTTTTGACGAAATGTGCGACTAAAGTTACCAGCAGAAGTTTTAACCTTTTTTTTTGTGGCTAAATTGATCCCCGTTGATATCGAGTGCGTCTACAATAAAACACACACATCTTAATTGTGGCTCAACCCCGCTGATATCGGGTAACGCCAGCATGTTCCCGATTCGTCGAGTTTCGAAAGTAGGTGTGGCGACTTCTGAAATCCCGGGTGAATCACGGAAATGCGTACTTTCTTCCGTTGACAAACGGTACGCAAAACTGTTACGCGCCCTTAGGCTCAAAATTTTGGAACTTGCGACTCCTAGGTTCAATGACACACCTGCTAACTAGCGCAATCAGCTGAGCAGACAATTCTCTTGTTCGGCTTGGCAATGAAAGCAGCACATATGGACGACCAAGTTAGCATAAAAATAGCACATTCGATTATTTATCAGTGACGGACTCCAGCTAGTGACCAGCAAGTCGGTTCTGCGCGCATCCATGGCTCTACTGCTGCACGCTCTCCTGCTGCACCTACTGTTGCAATGCCTCCTGTTGCTGCGGCTCCTGCTCAAGCTGCTGCGCCTACCACTGCTGGCGTCACGGGGCCGCGTATGATCGACTACAGCAAGTGGGACCACATCGGCTCCGGCAGCGACGAAGACGAGGTGTAACGCATCGACCTACTTCTCGCCTAACTCCCTAGCTAACAACCTAACACTCAAAGGCATTCGTCGAGATTGCTTTCGATAGTTATTGGGTTACGAGTGAGTGAAGGTTGAGTTGGGAGAGAAAGGGTTGGGTTGGGAATTCCAAACCTCAACCAATAGGTTTGGGAAATTCCAACCCATCAAAGTGGAATGTTGAAGGTTGGATTTCCAACCAATCAGAAACTGCCAATTCAGTGTAACAATATACTCTATCTTAAAAACAACCATTCAATGGTTCTAGGTTGGGTTTTCCCAACCCAACTAATTGCCACATAGGCTCCAAGCCTAGGAACCATCCCACCATGGAAACCATGGTTGGGATAGTTCCCCAAGGGGTGTATTGAGGGGGTCTGAGCTAAGCAAGCTCATTCTCAACCTCCCACTCCAACTAAACAATTGGAAATGGGATTATTTGGCTAAGTCATTTTTGGCTCTCTCACAAGCTTCCCTACACTACTATTCCAAGTGTTTTCCATCAAAGGCATCAAGAAGATCTTCATCTCCAAGGCTATTAAGGCTAGTTAGAGCTACAATTTTGTATTGGAATATTATAAAAGCCTGGTAACCGCCATTATAATAGTATTGGGCATTACACGAGGAGGGCGAGGAGCACACGGCGTCACAGAGTGGACACGCACCAGTGAGAGGCGGAGGGAGAGGAAAGACGGTCTTGTCGGAAGCCGAGAATCCCATCGGAACCAGCAATGCTGGTCTTTCGGAACTCAAGGAGGATTTGGCTTGATCGCCACGAGTCGGTGAAAAGATGGAATGTTCAAGAGGAGGCGGTCGGGGCCGGAAAGGCATGTGCACGGACGGCCGGGGTGGTGTCAGGGGGAGTGGGAGCTCAGGAAATACCGAGGAAGCTCCAGCTGCTCTGCCGGGCGGACATGGTTCACTACTTGGACGTGAGGGGCGGGTGGGATGTGGCTGAATGCGGGCGTTGCTTCCACCACGCTATGAGCCTCCGAGCAGAGCGTGCTCTCGAGCGTGCTCTCTCCATGGAAAGCCTCGACTTCGTTCGATCCCTCCTGCACAACCACCAGCCTGGCGCCACCCCTCTTGCATGCCCAAACGGAGTCAGCAGGGGTGTGCTGGAGTTCTCTGCGAGAGTGCAGGCGTTTGGGAAGCAAGGGGAGTCGGCGCCGCCGCCTCACGTGCAGTTCTCGTGCAAAAGTGCTCTTGCGCCGTTCCTCTGTGTGGAAGCGATGCTGCTCGAGTGGATGGCTGAGCCTCGTGTAGGCGTGCTCATGGACCTGGGGAGAATCAGATCCCGCCGGCCTGCAATTGTACTGCGACAGCTGCTGCAGCTGTTGCTTCCTCTTCTCCTGCTCCTGCTGCTGTTGCTGCTGCTGTCCGTGCTGCTTCATCAGCGTGGTCCTGCTGCTGGCGCTGCAGCAGCTGCTGGGCGGCCTACCGCCGTGCTGTCAGCTTTGTTGCCTTCCTCGTGCTTGTGGCGAGGTGGCCCCGGTTCGATACCATGTGGAAAGCCCACGTGGATACATACAACACGGTCTACCCAGCCTTAGTGGCCGAATTGGGGGCGGGCAGGCAGGTGGAGAACGACTGCTGTGCGTCCATGCTGGTGCAGGTGCTGGGGGTGAAGGAGAGCGCTGAGCTGCAGGAAGGGTTTGGGTTCTTTGTGCGGCATCTGCTCGCAGACGGCCTTGAGAATGCACATGCGGAGGGGAGCGGGGAGCCGGGGAGAAGGATTCAGCGAGTGTGGGGCAGTTAGGACAGTCAGCGATGGCCGTGGCACGGAGGATGCGGAGGCGACCAGCTGACTGGCGGGGGAGTATGGATGAATGTGGAGTGAACCTGGGCAAAGGTGACCTGGTAAGGTGTGTGAAACTGCCATCAACAAAAGGTACAGGTGGTAGTGGGGGGGTGGAGAGGGGTGGCTGTAGGGAAGGAAGGAATGGAAAGGATGTGGAGTGGAGGGAGCGTCTGAAGGGGCGTGTGTGGGAGAGGTATGTGGATGGCATGGGTTGGATTTTGGAGCATGGATGTGAAGCGGCGGTGGCAGCAGCAGCAGCAGCAGCGGCGGTGGCAACAGCAGCAGCAGCAGCAGCGGCGGCGGCGGCGGTGGCAGCAGCGGCGGTGGCAGCAGCATCGGCAGCAGCAGCTGCTGCAATAGTAGCAGTCTTGAAGGCAAGGATATTCCCAAGGGCATGTATGTGAGTGGCGTGGGTGCCACTGACCTCGCCCTGGCATTCGCCTCAGTGTTCTCCCGGCCAGAGCACCGCAAGCTGGGAGCGATGTTCTTCGTGGGGTATAAGAGCATACCCACTGGCAGCATGGAGGATGCAGCCATCGAGGCGGCCAGCGTGAGGCTGAGACAAGTGGGTCTGGCAAGCGGGATGCGCGAGGGGGAGGACTCGAGCTTGCAGCATCAGCTGCACCAACAACACGGCCGCCTGCTCAGAATGCTGCCGCTGTCTCAGCTCGAGCTGGGTCTTCTCTTGGCAGGAGCGATTCCACCGGCAACAGTGATCCTGGCCTCGTGCCTGTCAACGGCAATGCTATGCTCAGCAGCAGTTCGTCTGGCCTCGTGCCTGTAAACACAGACCCCGCTCTTGGTCTCCTCACGTATCGGGTTGCTTGCATCTTGCAGTGGCTTCGGATCTACGGCTCAGATTTCATTTTCGCACAGATGTGCTGCAAGGACAACCCACAGGGAAGGGTCCTGCCCATGCGCCACCCGGTTCGGGATCTTCCGAACCTGTTGGCCATGTTCGGCGCTGTTCTCCAGCCTACGGTCGGAAGAAGCTGCTTTCCTGAATGGGAGGAGTGGCCCCAGGGGGACGAAGCTACTATGAAGTTTCCTGATGACCCAAGTGCCAGATGTTTCTGGCTGGGCCGGGCGGATGGCAGGCAGGGTCTCAGGAACAATGGCCATCTGTCAGCTGCAGTGCAGCAGGGAAGAACCCGGAAAGCGCGGAAAGCTCCCAGCAAAGAACCGCTTCCTCCTCCTCGGAGCGAGATGCGTCCCATCGTGCGCTGCAGGGCAGATGCGGACTTGATAGTTGAGTTTGCTGGTATGCTCTTCGAGCCACCAGCATGCGCCCACTGCAGCGCATGCATCGCCACATACACTATCCTAGTCCCCTTTGTCGCTCTCGTTGCCAACTTCGCCTATCGCCCCGCCTCCGCCCTTCTCGACCACTTCGTTTCCATCTTCCCGCCCCACACCGCGGAGTTTCAAGATATTGTGAACCGATTGGGGCAGGATGGTCGCACCCAGCGTTGCAGCGTGCATGCGCTGCAGGAACGAGTAGAGCAGGTTCCGCTCTCCTTCCTGCTCGCCCTTGCCCTTCTCCTCCCTAAAGAGCTCTTGCAGCAGAGTGGGGCCCAAGGCGATCTGAACTCGTCGGCTGCTGGAATAAGCTATGGGGCGAAAGGGAAGGCAGGCAGGAGGAGGGCGAGGAGTGGGGACTGTGTGGACGGTGGGGATGGGGGGGGGAGGTGGGCTTGGTGAAGGTGATTGTGGAGGTGTGTGGGAGGAGGTGCAGTCATGGTTCGTGGTGGCAATACTACCACCGGTGCCATGGAGGGAGGTGGGCCCGCCTGCAGCGGCAGCCAGTCAATGAAGCGTGCTACAACCGCACACAAGAAATTGATTGCCAAGATGTATGACTGCTCTCTGCTGCCCAGGTTCTGTGAAGACTTGAAGCACACGGGTGGGCGTGGCAGTGCCTGTGACAGTAGCGGCAAGAAACGGAAGGGCAAGAAGGTGGAGGAGGCGGCTTATCTGAAGGCATGGCCGGGGGGAGTCAATCTGGTGGCTTGTCTGCGAGAGATGCTGCTGGGGGAGCCTTGCTACCGCCCTGCCTTCGATGCTGCTCGCTCCACCTCAGCTGCTGTAAGCACCCGTGCTGCGTCGTCAGTTGCTGCACCAATATACTCAGCTACTGCTGCACCTTCTTCTGACGAGTCAACCACTGTCGCTGCACTGAGCACATCTGCAGCAGACGTTTTGACAGCGAGCGTTACTTCAAATGTTGAAGCCGCTGGCGCTGCTGCTTGTGGGGAGCGTGTGTGCAGTGCAACTGCCACACAAGGCTCTGGTCCTGCGCCTAGTAGGGGGCGTGTGTGCGGTGCTGCAGGATGTGGGAGGGTGGAGGGTGGTGGTGTGAAGCTGAAGAGTTGCGGTGGGTGTGGCAAGGTGGCATATTGCAGCAGAGACTGCCAGAAGGCACACTGGCCCTCCCACAAGCTCACATGCCCTGGGAGGACCAACGGGAAGAGAAGAGGGGAAAACAGTGGCAAGGTGAGTGGTAGGAGGAAGGTGAAGGTGAAGGGAAGTGGCACCGAAACTGGCGAAAAGGTGTTCTGTGGTTTTTTGCGATGTATCCTGCCTTAAGGGCGTGGTCTACATTTAGCCCATGGACCTCATGGGGGTGAGGGGAGTGTTACCGGGAGAGCGGGAGGGGGGTGGGGGGGTTGGGGGGAAAAGGGGCGGATCTAGATTGCCCTTGGAGGTTGCCCAGTGTGGGCAGAGTCAAAATTCCCAGCTGACTTACATGGAAAGCCAAGGTCCAAATGAATGCCAAGGTCCAGATTCATCACTATGCAGCAATGAAGGTGCGAGGCTTCTGCTGGTAAGACCATTGGTATGTGTAACTGCTTCTCTATGGTCCTAACGGTTTAGATACAGGCTCACGTGTCTCCTGCTAGCGACTCGGCTGTTGCATCTGAGTCTTGGCAATGACGTGGATGGCTATGGATGGAATCGTCCTCTCTGTCCTCTGGCTAAGGCTGTTTCACATGTGTATGTTGTGGTATGTGTCTTCTAGTTTTGAGACGTCTCAAAACCACATGTGTATGTTGTGGTATGTGTCTTCTAGTTTTGAGACGTCTCAAAACCACATGTGTATGTTGTGGTATGTGTCTTCTATCCTCCCCCCCACCAACCTTCCCTCCCACCACCCCCTCCCCCCTGCCCCCCCACCCCAACCGCTCTTACCCACTGATGCACCACGTTCTGCTCCCCTTGCATTCTCACCACTTCACCTGTTTTGCCTTCATACAATTACCCCCCCTCACTCACTCACTCACTTACGCTTGCTCCGGACAGGCCTGAAGCACTCGTGTGCAGTCCTCGAGGCGAGCGCACATTTCAACGCGGCCTGGCGGCCCTGCTGCGAACGAAGGACTGGGAGCGGAGCTACCCCAACCTCGTCCGCCTCTGGACAGCGGTGGCTGTCCTGCCGCTCAGCACCGTCGAGTGTGAGCGCGGCTTTAGCCGCCATAACGTGATTAAGTCCTGGCAGAGGACCAGCCTCTGTGATGCCCGGCTCAGTGACCTGATGTGTCTAAGCCTGGTTGAGTATGACATGGAATGGGGTAAAGTTGTGGATTTGTGGTGCAGCAGCAATAAGAGGAGGCCTATTAGGAGAAGGGAAGCAGAGGCACAGGCCAGTGAGTGCGGCGGGGAGGGGGGGGAACGTGTTGGAGGACGGACAAGAAGCAGATACTGAACATGGCAGCAGCAGCAGCAACGACAGTGGGTTTAGTAGTAGCAGCGATGATGATGATGAGGTGTAGGAGTTAATTGAGTTTAGTAAAACACCAACTATATCTGCTGCTCTGCTCTGCTCAGCAGAGTCTGGTCTGGTGTGTGAGCCCTGAACACTGTAATTTTGTTGTGTTGAAAAAGCCCTTAGGATCGTTTTCAAGACTAGTCTCAGAGTAGTGATGTATTTAGCGGAAGCGTAATATTGGATTAATTGAACCACCTTGCACTAGTATGTGAGAACAAGATGAGTTGATTATAGTAAAGAGATATAAGGTTTTATATGATTACAAGGAATACGAAATGTTTAACTGTAACTGCTGTTGCGGTTCGATACAGCGACGACTCGGGTAACTGCTCAATAGAGAGTCAGTTATGAGTCCTTGCTATCGCGCTGCTTTTCGGCAAGTCAAAGGTCGCTGACCTTTGACCTTCGCTTAACCTCTTGCTTTCGTCTTCTTGTCAACTTCTTTGGTTGACTCGCCGTTACTGTCAGAGTGTTATAGTGCTTACTTTGTGTAGGCTATAGTGGGGTAGCCCATAAGGGGTACAACCCAATTAGGGTTAGTACTTGTACCCAACTCTTTCATAGTTCATTCATTTCTCGTTCTAGATTCTGACATGGTTTCATAGTAGGTCCTTCCGTAGGACCGAAATTTTTTTAGGGCCCACCACATAGCTGCCCCACTGGAGCCCTGCCCTAACGGCCCGCCGCCCTGCTTGTCGCTGTGCCGCCCCTAGCAGCCCGTCGCGCCGCCCTAAGCAGCCCACGAACAGCCCCTGCAGCCAGTGCGCCGCCCCTGCAGCCCGCTCGCCGCCCGCTCGCAGCCCGCGCGCCGCCCCTGCAGCCCGCTCGCCGCCCGCTCGCAGCCCGCATGCCGCCCCTGCAGCCCGCTCGCCGCCATTGCAGCCCGCATGCCGCCCGCTCGCAGCCCGCGCGCCGCCCCTGCAGCCCGCTCACCGCCTGCTTGCGGCCCGCTCACCGCCCTTAGGCCCGCTCGCCGCCCTTGCGGCCCGCTCGCCGCCCTTGCGGCCAGCTCGCTGCCCTTACGGCCCGCTCGACGCCCCTGCAACCCGCTTGCCGCTCGCTTGCGGCCCGCGCACCGCCCCTTGCAGCCGGCTCGCCGCCCCTTGCGGCCCGCGCGCCGCCCCTTGCAGCCCACTCGCCGCACCTTGCGGCCCGCTCGCCGCCCCTTGCAGCCCACTTGCCGCCCCTTGCGGCCCGCTCGCCGCCCCTTGCTGCCCGCTCGCCGGCCCTTGCGGCCCACTCGCCGTCCCTTGCAGCCCGCTCGCCACCCTTTGCAGCCCGCTCGCCACCCCTTGCGGCCCACTCGCCGCCCCTTGCAGCCCGCTTGCCACCCTCTGGCAGCCCGCTCGCCGCTCCTTGCAGCCCGCGCGCCGCCCTCTGGCAGCCCGCTCGCCGCCCTTTCTGCCGGCCGCCCTAGCCGTGCACCGCCCTGCCCTGCCCTGCGCACTTCCCTCGTGCTCGCGCACCGCCCTACCTGTGTGCAGCTCTGCTGGTTGCGCGCCACCCTCTACTGCCCACTATGGCTTCTCTCAGTGTACTCACGTTCGATCATGAGGGCCGTCCGATCCAGTTCGATACGTGGCTCGACGACTTACAGGTGTACCTGCTGAGCGATTCTAGAGACAGCATTTCGTTGTTTGACTACACATCTGGAGCCTCTCTCGCCCCTCCCGCCACAGGTGACAGTGCGACTAGCTCACAATGGCTTACCCGTGACGCTGCTGCTCGCTTAGTCGTTTGCAACCACCTGCCGTTAGCCGAACGCGCTCACTTCGGACAGCACAAGACTGCTAAAGCACTGTACGACGTTGCAGTCGCCCGTTACTCCTCCCCTGCCACTGCTGCTCTAGGTCGTCTTCTACTGCCCTACCTGTTTCCCGAGCTGTCCGCCTTTGCCACAGTAGAGGACCTGGTTTCCCACCTTCGCACTAGCGACGCTCGCTACTGCGCTGCCCTTCCAGCAGAGTTCCTTGACAGGAACCTGCCCCTGATGTACATCACTCTCTACGTCATAGTCACCCGCCTCCCTGCCTCTCTTCGCACAGTCAGGGACCACTTTCTCGCACTTGACCCCACAGCCCTCATTGTCAACCTGCTCGAGCAGCACCTCCTTGCAGCTGAGACTAGCGTAGTCGCTGTAGGTGCCGCTCGTGGCACTCCTCGCACGCCCTTCTTTGAGGGGTGTTCCCCCTCCCCCCTTGCCCCCTCCTACGCCTCTGCTAATGCTGTTGACATCCTTGGTGCTGCAGATGTCAGGGCTGCTTCTGCTGTTTGTGGGAAGCGCCGCAGCATCAAGGGCAAGGGTGGCAGAGGTGGTGGCGGTGGCAGCGGGGGTGGTAGTGGGGGCGGCAGTGGAGGTGGTGGAGGTAGCGGAAGTGGTGGAAGCGGTGAGAGTGGTGGCGGGAGTGGGGGCTTTGGTGGCGGTAGTGGTGGGGGCGGTGGGGGTGGCGGTACTGGCAACCGTGGGAGTGGTGGCAGTCAGGGTGGAGCTGTTCAAAGGGGAGGTTTTGGCGGTGGCCAGAGGCAACAGCAACAACGTCGGAGCGCCGTCGCCCCAGCAGCTTCGTGAGTGGTTTGCTCAGCATGGGGCGTCTGGGGGTAGTGTTAGCTGCCTGTATGTCATTCGCACGGGTGACCGTGCTTGTCAGACATGCGGGAAGCCTTACACTCAGCACCGCTGCTTCTCCCGCCTAGACGTCGCTTGGCGCGCAGAGTTTGGTGACGAGGCAGAGCGCCCCCGCTGGGCAGAGCTGCTTAGGTCTAGAGTTGATATCTTTGCTCTTGACTATGATGCTATCCTTGCTGCTATGTATGCCTTGTCTGTTAGTGCTGAGGGTGACTGTTACCTGTGTATGCCGCCCGGCCCAGGTATAGAGGCTCCTGCTCTAGGTGCTAGTGAGTCTGCTCTCCCTGGTACTGCGCCTGCTGAGGCCTTTCACACCTTTACGCTTGACTCATGTGCTTCCCGCTGTTTCCTTCGCGACAGTACCACCCTCACTCTACTCCCTGCACCTTCTCCGGTCAGACTGGCTGACCCCTCGAGGGGCCCAGTTCTTGTCCGTTCTTCCACATTTCTCCCGTGTCCAGCGGTTCCGTCCGGCTCACTCTCACGTCTTCACCTCCCCTCATTCTCTACGAACTTGGTGAGTACCGCTGCCCTCCAGGATGCGATGCTCACTACCACCACTCTTGGGGGTCAGCGTGTGTCGATCTGCACGTGTACACGAACGGGTCGTCACCTGGCCACGTTCACCCGTCGGCCTGGGTCGAGTGTGTACAGACTGACTACTGAGCCTCCTCAGGTAGCTGCGTCTGCTCAGGTGTCCACGTCAGGTCAGGTAGCACCCCCTTGCTCGTGTCGCCTCCTGTCGCACCAGACTCTCTTGTGGCACCACAAACGTGGTCACCCCTCCCTGCCACGCCTTCGTGGAATGCACTCCCGCCTCCTTGCTTCTGGTCTTCCCAGGTCTCTGCCTCCCCTCCCGCCCTCGCCTGCCCCGCCCTGCCTCCCTTGCGTCCATGGGTCGGTAGCGCGCCGCTCCTCACTCCTCCTCGTTTCCCCCGACGACTGCTCCCCTGCAGACTCTACATATGGACGTGTGGGGCCCAGCCCGCGTCAGTGGACAGGGCGCGAGCGCTACTTTCTGCTGGTTGTTGACGACTACACGCGTTACACCACGACCTTCCCCTTACGCAGCAAGGGTGAGGTGCCTGATGTCTTGATCCCTTGGATCCGCACAGTCCGTCTCCAGCTCCGCGAGCGGTTCCGCGAGGACCTTCCTGTTCTGCGTCTGCACTCTGACAGAGGTGGTGAGTTCTCCTCCGACCTCTTGCGGGACTTCTGTCGTGGGGAGGGCATCCTCCAATCGTTCACGCTTCCGGCCTCCCCGCAGCAAAATGGGATTGCTGAGCGCCACATTGGTTTAGTCATGGAGGTGGCTCGTACCTCCATGATCCATGTGGCTGCTCCCCATTTTCTGTGGCTGTTTGCGGTCCGGTACGCTGCGCATCAGCTCAACCTTTGGCCCCGTGTCTCCTTGCCGGAGACCTTGCCTATACTGCGTTGGACGAGGAAGGTTGGCGATGCGTCAGTGTTCCGGGTTAGGGGCTCTCGTGCCTTTGTTCGTGATACGTCTGCAGACAAGCTCTCCTTCCGCGCTATTCCCTGCGTCTTCCTTGGCTTTCCCCCTGACGCGCCTGGCTGGCAGTTTTACCACCCCACCTCGCGCCGTGTCCTTCCTTCTCAGGACGTCACGTTTGACGAGTCAGTTCCCTTTTACCGTCTCTTCCCCTACCGCTCTGCCCCTCTCCCACCCCCGCCGCTCTTTCTTGCTCTAGGTCCCCCTCCAGTAGACCCCCTCCCCCCTCAGAGTCCGGCTCCCTCAGGTGTGTCTCAGGTAGACCCACTCCCCGGGACTGTCCCTGTCAAGGTCGTTGTAGACTCAGGTGCTGCTAGAGGTACTGCGTCTGGGAGTGCTACGTCTGGGGGTGTTGAGCCTGCGAGTGCGGAGTCTGGGGGTGCTCAACATGCGAGTGCGGAGCGTGAGGGTGCGGAGCCTGGGGGTGCAGAGCCTGAGGGTGCGGAGCCTGGGGGTCCTAAGTCTGAGGTTGCGGAGCCTGGGGGTGCTGAGTCTGAGGGTGCGGGGCCTGGGGGTGCTGAGCCTAGGGGTACTGCTTCTTCTGGAGGTCCTGCGGGTACCTCGCCACAACGGTCTCCCCGACCGGAGCCTCTCTCCCCGCAGCTGCTGCGCGAGTGGTTTGCTAAGCGCCCACGCCTTCGGAGTGGAGCTGCCGGAGCTGGAGACTCTGCCACTGGAGGCACTGGAGCTGGAGGTGCTGGAGCTACTAGTCTAGGAGGTGCTGAAGTTCCTGCTGAAGCTGGAGGTACCGGAGGTGCTGCAGCTGCTGGTCGTGGAGGTGCTCGTACCAGGGGTACTAGAGCTGGAGGAGCTGGAGCTTGAGACCCTGGCAGTGGAGGAGCTGGAGCTGGAGGCACTGGCGCTG